GTTGTGTGGAGTTCAATTTGATTGGGTTTCTTAGTCAATTATGATAACATACGTGCTAAGAGTACTTACATTTATATTGAGAGACAGTATAAATATAGTGGTCCGTAAATGAGTGTTTCACAAATGCTGCTGGGAGGCGGACTAACTATATCAGTTTCCTGAATGCCTGGAGGGGCTGGAGTTGAAATATGGGAGTTTAAAAATGGTGTCTCTGGAGAACTTGTTAGCTCTTGACTCTTTAGTTTAATTTTCTGTATTTCATTCACAGCCAGTGTTTTAAGATGATTAAGGCCTAGTGCCTGGGGCGACTTAGATGGGAATTCATTGTTTCCTTAAGGATTTTATCTTTTTTCTTTCTTTTCTTATGTGTTTGTTAGGAGTGATCATTGGTAATGAATTACATGACTCATAACTGTCATCTATGATCTATCCATTACGTCAATTTCCGGATCAAATTGAAGTCGTTAGAATGTGAATAGATGATTTGTCTATTTGTAAATAACGCATGGGGAAAGGACAAAGGGAGAGCGAAGTTTAGTACAGCATCAAGGATATATTGTTTGGCATTTACTTTGAAGTAGATGTCTTACTGAAGACTATAGTTTGTAGTGAAGTTGAAATCTATTTTCTCAAGTATTATATTGATTCCATTTCATGTGGCCTTTATAATTTATATACGCTGATGTTGATGTACCACATTGGTGTTGAAAATACATTACATTGCCATTTTGGGTGTTATTATGTTTATGCCTTCCCATTTTGTGATTTCTTTATGCTGAATCTATTGTGCTCTACTCACGGTTAAGTTCTTTATCCAGTGTGACATGTGCAAATTTAGTATTTGAGTCATCATCTGTGGTGGAGTGGTATGGCGGCCGTTGATTTTTGACTTATATTATGTAATCTGCAACTTATCTATATCAAGGTGGACATAGATACCTAAACGCATTCCTTGCAATATGAACTTTATGCTATCTGATTCTTAATTTATTCCGGTCCAAACTGACAGTTTACCAGTCAACAGTATTTTGATTTCTACCTATACTTACATAATATCCTAATTACACCGTAATATATGCGGCATTTTCTTCGTTATATATATAGCATTCTACCACCAGACTGTTTTGAGTGCCCATAACAAGATTGAGCAAACTGAAGCTTGGTATTCAGCAAACTCTCTATCTAAGCGCCCTAGATTTGAGAGTATGAACCATTTGCCTGTTTATCCCCAGAGGCCTGGAGAGAAGGATTGTGCCTATTATATGCAAACGAGAACCTGTAAGTTTGGGGAGACCTGCAAATTTGACCATCCTGTTTGGGTTCCAGAAGGGGGAATCCAAGATTGGAAAGAGGTGATCTTTCTTGTTACATTATATTATGCTAATATTCCATTAGTTCAGTTACTTTGTACCATACATATATTCTAGTAATTTGTTTGTTTATTCATAGTTTGTTTTGTTTACATTACAATAATAAAGATCTATCACCTTTTAGTCCTATGGATTATATTAGTACTTCACTTACGAGGATGCTCTTTTGTTGAACTATATTAACGTGGTACTTCTGCACTTACTAAAATCTATTCTAGTATTTTGTTTATTAATAGTTTGTTTTGTTTACATTACAATGATAAGGATTTATTACTTTTTAGTCCGATGACATATACTAGTACTTCACTTATGAAGATGCTCTTTGTGGAACTATATTATCTTGGTACATGTGCACTTATTTAAATCGAATAAGGTATGTATTTTTACCTACATTTCATGCTGATTTCATTTTATAAACAACTGTGTTTTTGACAAAAGAATTCACAATGGGGATGAGTGACAGCATGAGCCTGGAACGTCTACTTTCTTGTCAAATATGGAACCTATTTCAATTTCACTTTGTGATCTGCCTTCCCAAATTGCCCCCGTTGTATGAATAAAAAGATTTTTGTTCCATCATCTCACTCTATTTTGAATTCAAGGTTATTGTGATGTATATGTTTTTTTGTGGTCGCTGTTGTGTATGTTGACAAACATCAATTATGTATGTTTTTATCTGCAATTACTATCTATCATCGGGAACGATAATAGGAACTGTCTTTGTATCAGCGTGGCTAGTGCAACTGCATTCTTTATAGTTATGTTATTATACTATATTTTAAGTGTATTTAAGTGTCTGTGCCGGCATACAAGCAACACATGTACTTTTGAGTGTCCGTTATGAATCACATGTATTTTTTCTAAACTCTGTGGTCTCCAGAACCAAATTCCATCTCATGGTAATGGTTTTGCGATGAGGAAATTAAGAAACTTTAGGTTCCATTTGTATCCTCCCTCCATCTTGACTAATTTCAGTAGGCTTTAATATGTTTGACTGAACGTCTTGATTAGTGAATCCGAAGGTCTAACTTGATACGATCTTCACTTTGAAAGTTTGTTATTCTTGCTTCTCTTAGTGTGTGAATCTCTTCCATAAGTTACATGGTTATTGATGTTAATACAGTTAAGAAACTCAATGAGGTTATTATTGACAGATATTGCCGGGTTTCTCATATTTATGTATGTTGGAGTTTTTGGAGAGCTGAATGCTTAGTATATGTTTTGGTTTCTACTTTTTCGTAGTCTGTATACATCTTTACACAGATATATGAACTTCCAACCTATGGAACATGCTCATCCTTGTGTTATTGATTCTAAACCCAGCTATAAGATTCATCTCTAACGTTATCCAAAAGTGAAGGCAGAAAGGTCAATTTATTGAAATATGATGTACGGAGCAATATTTCATGTGAACATAAACTCTAGTGTTATGCTTATTCTATGTAATCAGAAAACCACAGAGTTTAAATATTATTTAGCTCAGTTAAGTCGCTTTTTTTATTAGTAAAGCCATCCTGAACTTGTCGTCATGTGATTTAAATCATGGTACCTTCTTATGTGTAGTCTTATATGGACGTGTGGTTTATTTCGTAAAGCTTGCATGTATATGTAAAAAGTTGTAGTAATCACTCATAAGATGCCGATGTTGTTGGAGACTGTCGGGAACATAATTTTGTAATTTCCCAGAATTTGTATGAAACAATAATGTTTTATGTTGATGAGTAAGATCTTGAATTTATTACAATCATTATTGTTCACGATATATTATGATGATGCATTTGGTATAAGCAAAGAAAATCAGAGGCTTCGTGTATTTACTATGATTGAAGTTCATTTCCTTTGGGATTTACCCTCGATTCCCATCACTCTACCCAACTCATTGTCTGTTTGTGGTTGTTTCGCTCTAGTCATTTTAGTTGTAGCATCATATTTTGTGTTCTTGAAATCATGTAATTCGTGGCTCAGGTGCCCCCCGTGCCAAGCGAAGCCCTTCCTGAGAGACCCGGGGAGCCCGGTTGCCCTGTAAGCCAGACTTCAAGTCTTCGATCCATACTCCAAAGCACTTGATCATCTGGATTTTAATCTCTATTTCACTGTTGAAAATGTTGCCAGTACTTTCTCAAGACCCAACGATGTAAGTTCGGTATCAACTGCAAATTCAACCACCCTAAAGATAGAATTGCACCTCCAGCAAGTAATTTTCGCGTAACCTTCTATATTGGTTAATTTGGCTATATATGCTGCCAAAACATCAACTGTTATTTCGTGGAGTTAATTTCAGGGTGCCACGGAGGAGGGTGATGTATCTATCCTACCTGAGAGGCCATCAGAGCCTCCATGTACTGTAAGATACTTTTCTCATGAGTTGTTTGCCTTTTTCTGTACTAGCAATTTTGTAAATGATTCTGTTGTAATCAAACCAGTTCTACATGAAGACTGGAAAATGTAAATTTGGTTCGACCTGCAAATTTCACCACCCCAAAGGTGTACAAATATCATCAGGAGAAGGAAATGAGGTGCAGAACAAAATATTTGGAGGTATAAAGACATTGCAGGGAATGAGGTTCGACCTGCAAATTTCACCAAAGGCCTTCCCATCAGACCGGTATGCTATAACTAGTTTACAACACCTGATTTTCTCGCTTTGAATTGTCCAGGGATGTTCTATTTATGTTACAATATTTTTCGAATTTACAGAATATTTTTTGCCACTCAATATTGGAGGAAAATTTACAAAATGGCTTCAAGTTGATTCTGCTTCATGCTTAGCTCATGGAATGATGAAATGTTGTAAAATTTCATAAAAACTACTAATTAGTTTATTATCTGATTTGACCAATGAGAAATGGGATTGTGATCCACATGCTTGAAGTCAGAGTCTTACTTCTGCATATGTGCTCTTCTGTATATGACCTTCCCAAATTTCGCTCTCATGTTCTCTCTATGTTTTGTATAGCGTTAAAAACATATGTACATGCAAAATGTCGAGTTGAACTAAGAGAAAGCGAAAGGCTTAACACATTCCTCATTCTTTTCATGACACATTTGCTTTCCATTTTCAAACTCCCAACTCTTCGTTTACGTGCTTGTGTTGGTAGAAGATGTCATATCTTTATTTAATTATCATATTGCTATCATAGGTGTTGTTTGGGGTGTGGGATGTTAAGGATGAGTGGGATGTTAAGGATGAGACGGTGCTGAGGTTTTTTTGTGGCTATTTAGGAAAACTCTTTAAAGCCTCATTAAGATTGAAATATAGCTATTCAAGTTTCCATGAGGGGATTTTAGGAACAGAATAGGAAATATGTAAAATACTGTTAGATATTATTTTCTGCTACAATGATTCAATGGTTATGACCTGCTGCTGTCGCGTGTGTATTCTATTTGGTGACTTGTCAATAATCCTCTGCTGGCTTGCTGTTCACAGGGTGAAGAAGATTGTCATTCTATCTGAAAACTGGCAGGTGTGTTCTTTGCAGTTAACTTCAAGAACAGTTCCTCATTTCCAGCTCCACATATATATCCTTGATATACATATCTTCTAATGTGCATTTCTTCATTCAATC